AATTGTTTAATATAATGGGGGACAAGACATAAATTAGTGGGAGAATAATGTAATTCTTTATGTTAAGCATGAGGGACAAGATGTAATTGGGTGGGGTTGATATAATTGTTTAATATAATTGGGGACAAGACATAATGTAGTGGGGGAGAATAATGTAATTGTTTATGTTAAGCATGGGGGACAAGATGTAATGGGTTGGGGGTTGATTAATTGTTTAATATAGTGGGGGACAAGACATAATATAGTGGGGTGGAAATAATGTAATTATTTATGTTAAGCATGAGGGACAAGGTTTAAAATAAAGAAAACATTAATTAGTGGGGACAAAGCATACAATTGGGGGAATATTTCGGGTTGGGGATTCAAGACAAGAGTCTTGTTATAAATAGAGTCATTTGACACATTCTTGAGGGGACTTGAACATTAGAAAGGAAGACTTGAGAGGGCAAAAAAACTTAGACTTAAACTTGAAAGACTTACTTAGAGAGACAGAATACAAGACAGAAAAAAGAAGGAAGAGAGAGAAAAAAAGGGAGTTGAATTTTAAAAGAGGGAAAAATTCCGAAAATACTAAGACTCCAAAAATAAAAAGAAAAACATTCTGGAAATTCAAGAGAAGAATAATAGTATACACCTGATATACAATTTAAATATTCTGATATACGGATTTAGAGATTAAGGGTTGAACATTAATTAGTCTTTCAAATCTGAAAAGATTCCCTTGGCTTCTGTCCGTTGATTGTTGTTGGTGTTTCTGGATTTTTATTTTGAGTTTTAAAATCCTTCACTGGTTTCTCATTGCTGGTTGCTGGGTGTTGCTGTTATTGTATGCTACTGAATTTCTGCTGATCTCCCTTTTCTTTTGCTTCCAATATCAGGTACACAACTGACATACTGGTTACTGTAAACTGAAACATGAAGCATGAATACGAAAATGAAGAGTTGAAGTTCTAAATTTATTTTAATCTGAATTTTATTTGTATATATGAATTATTTAGCTTACTCTAATCAGAATCATGTAGCTATTTAATATATATAGTGGAACATCTCACGATAGCTTAACAGACGAACTATCTATATATTGACTAAAAATAAATAAATGGTGTAGTAACTCCGTCTAGTTAATTCGTTATTGTTGGATGATTACCATATCTCAAAAAAACACGTTAGTTCATCAAACGAATAAATCATTTCGGAACTTATAGGAATATTATTTAGTCAAATACTATTGGTTAATTTCAGCATGTAAATGGTCTATAATTAAAATTAGATTGATAAGTTTTTTTTTTAATTTGACAAACTGTGAATATGCCTAGTATAATGTAACTGGGTAGTAACATGTGAATAAGATGACCCAGGTCTAGTTTAAGCCATACACGTTGGACCTGGGCCCGCATTGGCCTGTTTGCATCATTTCAGATTTTATGAATCATATTTGAAACTCAACTATAACAACTCAAACATGTAAATAAATTAAGACATTTTCTCTTTCATTTTGTAGAGACAAATTTAATAGAGAAAAATGTAGGCATTTTAGGATTGTCCTTTAAAAATAAATGAGATGAGCCTCGCACAATAAAACGCACCAATTGCGGGGCCCTCAATAAATGTTTAATTGAATATTTAGAATTCGGGATGGATTGTTTTAGTGAATTTCACTGCCTTCCCCAAAGATAATAACACGTTAGACTCTTTAGGCGTATTTTAATAATCTTACCTTCTTAAACTCGAGTGTGCATTTCATGCGACCCAAATCCAAATCCTAAAACATTGAATAAAAATACGTTCCGGATCGCGGGTGCATTTCATGTGACGCAATCCAAAGACATGTTTTTAAACGATGTTCACATTCTTTTAGCAATATAATAATAAAAGCGGTAAAGAGTTAAAAATTTGCACATGAGCTCATAATTGTATAAAAATCAGATATTTAAGCCAAATATGACAATTGAGCGACCGTGCAAGAACCACGGAATTCGGGAATGCCTAACACCTTCTCCCGGATTAACAGAATTCCTTATCCGGATTTCTGGTTCGCGGACTGTAATACAGAGTCATTCTTTTCCTCGATTCGGGATTAAAATTGGTGACTTGGAACACCCTAAATCTCCCAAGTGGCGACTCTGAAATAAACAAACAAATCCCGTTTCGATTGTCCTTTAATTGGAAAAAACTCCTTCACCCCTCGCGGGGACGGAAAAAGGAGGTGTGACATCGAAAATCCCTATTATGCTACAATTTTGTGATTCTCCTATATGCTTTTGTTACTCACGAAACTGCTATGCTAAATATGGAATCCAAAAAAATATGATGAAAGGATAGATCTTCCTAAGTAAAATCCTCCCATGAACTGTTACAAGAAAATTGACTTTTGCCAACAATTGAAGCATCAAAAGAAAAAGATAAAAAGATCTGTTCGAGCTCAGGACATATTGAGAATCAAACTCTGGGAGATAAATCTTAATGTGAAGGAACCCGAAATCATAACCATCAAATCGACCAGACTTGTGCTCATCTTCCCCGGGCACAAAACCATTGGGACAAGATTGCAGAAGTGCCGACAGTGCCTTGGCTATGGAAGAAATAATGGGATTTTGATACAGAAATCGTGGGTGTGGGAGGGAAACGTGGGTGAAGGTATGAGAATTAGAGAGAGAAATGTGGGGGGAGTGGTATTAGAAGGAATATACGGTACCATTAAATTAGGAGTGTAATTAATATTCTTAAAAATCACTAATGATATATAATTGATAATTAGGTATACTAAATGTAACTATCTCAAATCTTAAATATCGAGGGTAATATAGTTTCCCATATGACATAGATGTAAAAATTCCTAATAAATATGGCCCAAAATATTTGTGGCCACTAATATTAACGGCAATCCAATAGCCACACATATAGTGTCATTGGGAGAGGGGAAAAGGGTCCCACAAATGCTGTGTTGTCACAATAGTAGTCTAGTATTTTATACGCAAATCCAATTCCCTTATCTTCACTCTCTTTAATTAAAATCTTCTTGAAATCTCCTCCAGTCATTTCATTGTCTAAAAGTTGCATTCTTCTTTTTTTAATAGACTCTCTGCTTCTTGCTTATTCTTTCTCCCATTTTCCCTTCTCTTTCTTTGATTGGACTCATCACCTGCTTTAGATTTTCTGTTCATCTGCAGACACAAAGTTACCAGAATTTGGGTAGTCTTTAATTCTTGAAAATACATCTTAAAAGCTTCCAAACACTATTTTTCCTCTTTTTCTTGTGCTAAATTCAAAAGGGCATGTCCTGAAAATTCGCTGTAAGAGCAAATAGTTGAGATATATTAGTAATAAAGATGAAGATCCAGTGTGATGTATGTGAGAAAGCTCAAGCTACTGTAATTTGCTGTGCTGATGAGGCAGCTTTGTGTGCTAAATGTGATATTGAAGTTCATGCTGCAAATAAACTGGCAAGTAAGCATCAGAGGCTTCATCTTCAGTGCCTCTCCAACAAGCTTCCTCCTTGTGATATTTGCCAAGTAAGGAAACCTTTTTTTGTACTATTTTATAGCAGCCTGAGTATGGAATACCTTTGTTCTAGTTCTAAATTGTGTTAATATGTCAATCCTATAGCCAATTTGGTCAGGGACTATTGAATTAACTTTATATGTTTCCTGAGCAGAAATCTGCTGAGATTATTAGATGTTAATGAACTGATCTGATTTATTTATGTGGCACTATTTCCTTATTAGTTCGTACTTAAACTTTCAATTATTATTTTATAGCCACACAAAAGTTATGACATGTATAACTATAAGTTTCGAAACACTTATTAAATGACGCATATGTTATGACATATTTAAAATCACAAGTTTCAAATAAATTGAAATAGTACTATTTGGTTTATTGTTTTATCCCTCCCATTTCACATACAGTTTATTCTACATTTCTAGTATTTGTGACAATAATGAAGTTCTTGCTTTTAAGGGGAGCCTTGGCGTAACTAGTAAAGTTGTCTCCATGTGACCAGGAGATCACGGGTTCAAGCTGTTGAAACAGCCTCTTGCAGAAATGCACGGTAAGACTGCGTACAATAGACCCTTGTGGTCCGGTCCTTCTCCAGACCCCGCGCATAACGGGAGCTTAGTGTACCTGCCTGCCCTTAATGAAGTTCTTGCTTTCGTAACGAAGAAAAATGGGAGAAAGGGAGGGACAGAGGGTTCCAAGACCCCAAATGTTAAACCTCATCCCATAAGTATTCCAAAGGATAAGACAGTTGTACATGTAGATTAAGCATAATGAAATAGTTTGATGGCTAGGGGATAGTTTATGTTTCATTTGCCTGAGGTCTTTGGTTCAACAGCAAAGGTAGTAAAACAAGGAATGTCTGGCAATCTCACGTCATAAGTTTATACCCTGCAGGGAAACTAAGTTTAGTATTTAAGTGTGGAAGAATAGAGGAGCGGACTTATTATCCACGAAGTTTGAAATAACAAATTTCTTGGTTATAAGAAAATAGTTTATATTTTCAATTGTTGCATTATCTGAAAGTAAGAGCAGACTGAAAATAAAAATCCGTTGGCTGAGTGACCTATGATTGTGTCGACCCTTATAGGGACCAGAAACCTCAAACGAAATTCCATCTCTATCTTATCGCAGATATCTACTCATACCTTTAGAGGCCCTTGAATAGTCTACAACAAGAACGTGCATATGTGAGTCGAGTGAAAATTCTTATTTGGAAAACCTTGAGAAGCTAGGGAAGATGATCTTTCTGAACATGGTTAATTAACCTCAGAAAATGAATGTAAACAGGCCAGAAAAGAAAAAAAGGGAACTAACGGGCGATAACCTTATTGTCCAAAAAATTGTAACATTCTTTGGGGGACTTCATTATTGCAACTAATATTTACCTGGATCTACAATATATGCAGGATAAAGCAGCATTCATCTTCTGTGTTGAGGATAGAGCTCTCTTTTGCAAGGACTGTGACGAAGCGATTCATTCTGCCAGCAGCCTTGCTGCAAATCACCAGCGCTTCCTGGCCACTGGAATTCGAGTAGCCTTGAGCTCAAGCTGTAATAAGGATGCAGTAAAAACCCAATTGGAGCCACCACAACCACCTCAGCAGAATTCTCAACAAGTTGGCCTGAAAATGCCTCCACATCAATTGTCCGGTATCACATCACCATCTTGGCCTGTTGATGATTTACTAGGATTTCCAGATTATGATTCGACTGATAAGGTAAGACAAACTTATTTCTTCTTCATTTTTCTTCAAGTACCCTATATTTTCCACCAGTTGGGTTCAAAATTTAATATTTGTCGAACTTTAGTGATGTTTTACATATATATCTAAGTTCCATGTCAAAAATGCTGGATTCAGTTAAACCTATGGAACCTGTATTGCATCAGCCTTTGCTCTGACATGTAAGACTTTCTAATATTTCTTCCAAGGAGTACATGTTATAACCATTCCATGTATCTATGAAGTTGGCCTAGCACAAATTTTAGTCTAATCTATGAATTTATGATGACCCTTGATTCAATATTTTCATCGTCTTTTTGTCTAATATTTGACAAATAACGATTTGATTGTTTCAACTTTTATACAGAAGGAGCTACTTGAGCTAGGTGAACTTGAGTGGTTGGGAGACATTGATCTCTTTGGTGAACAAACAGCAGCTGAAGTACCCGAGTTATCAGTATCTCAGTCGAGCAACACACATAATATTTACAAGCCAACCAGATATCAAATGTCATACAAGAAGCCCAGAATTGAAATCCCAGATGACGATGAGTACTTTACAGTTCCAGATCTTGGTTGAGCTCCAATGTCATAAGATTCCTATTTAAACATTTATGTGTGCTTGCATGCAGTTCTTAACCATATTGTCAACAGATATGTTCAGTAAGTAGAAGAAACATTATTCTGCTTAAGATAGCCTTTATCTTTAATTCGCCTCAGGTTGCATCTGTTTCTTTTTCTAAGTCTACAATAAATTCACCTTAAAACAGTGAGGCATTCTTGGACATGTTGTAGATATTGCTAGAGCTTGAACACAGTGCAGTGTGTTTCTTTCTTTCTGGAAACTAATTCTTAGACATCTGAAAATCTGAACTTGCCATCTAGAAACTGTCATACACATAATATTTACAAGCCACAGATATCAAATGTCATACAAGAAGCCCAGAATTGAAATCCCAGATGACGATGAGTACTTTACAGTTCCAGAGCTTGGTTGAGCTCCAATGTCATAAGATTCCTATTTAAACATTTATGTGTGCTTGCATGCAGTTCTTAACCATATTGTCAACAGATATGTTCAGTAAGTAGAAGAAACATTATTCTGCTTAAGATAGCCTTTATCTTTAATTCTCCTCAGGTTGCATCTGTTTCTTTTTCTAAGTCTACAATAAATTCACCTTAAAACAGTGAGGCATTCTTGGACATGTTGTAGATATTGCTAGAGCTTGAACACAGTGCAGTGTGTTTCTTTCTTTCTGGAAACTAATTCTTAGACATTTGAAAATCTGAACTTGCCATCTAGAAACTGCATGATGGCATACAAACAACAACCACCCAGTATAATCCCACTTAGTGGGGTCTGGGGAGGGTAGTGTGTGCGCAGATCTTACCCCTATCCTGGGGTAGAGAGTCTGTTTCCAACATCCTTCCCTCCGAAAACTTCCCACCTTGCTCGTGGGAAGACTTGAACTCACAACCCCTTGATTGGAAAGTGCTTAGGAAAATGTACATGTCGTTTTGAACTTACATAAACCGTTCAAGTTCCCCTCCCTTATTTTGTTCAAGATTCACAAAAGCTTGTTCTCTTTCTTTGAGCTAGTAAACTTTCTGTTGTTATGAGAACTACCACATTTTAAGTTCCAAACTGCAAATCTGATACTAAAGTTCTACAATTCCATCGATCAAATTTCAATCTCCGTTTCATTACTTAAGAGTTACGATTTCATCTTAGACCCTCAAACAACAGGGACAAATTAATTGATGGTATCGAAGTACTTGGGAAGCTTGAGGCTAATTATCTCTCAAATATAACCTGTTTTCTGTTCAATCACATCGCGAGTTACTGCATTTTGCAGCTTGACTTAGGCTAAGACTATCTAACTATGAACTCTTAAGCAAAATTTCCCTAGGTGGGGGCAGGGATTTATGAAAAAAGAAATTGCTGAAAACTATTTTCTCTCCTAAACGAAAATAACTTAAAAGTGAAACAGATATAGGAGATTGTATAGTCCGACGCAACTAGTTAAGAGTTGAAGCAACTAATTGATTGACTCCAACACAACTTAAATGATAACCGATGAAATGGAAAACTAGAAAAGGCTGAAAGCAACGCCAAATGAAAGGTAAAATGAAAAATTCCACCGACAAATCAATAGGAAGAAAGCTTAGTTTATTAAGTGCCTTGATGCATTGTCTTTCATCATTACAAGAAACCATTAAAATCCGAAACCCCGAAAGTGAAAAATGAAAGGCTGAAACTACTTTGACTGATTGAAAGGAAAAACTCGTAAAGGGTTGAAATATATCACGATTAAAAAGAATTAAAAGGGTAACATCATCTTCGTTCTATGCTCCTCCCTTAAGCAAAGTGAGGGCTTCAGATTCAGTAGGAAGAGCTGGGATTGCTCCTTTCTTGGTGGTAGTGATGGCTCCACATGCACATGCAAACCTTAGTACTTCCTTCAGCCTTGCTTCATCCTACATTTTTAGTTTTTTCACAAATTAATTAACTCACATTATTTGTTTAGGGACAAGAATTATAAAGGTATTAATATTAATTATTACCTCAAGAATGGATTGGTCATCAACAATCTTGGTTAGAAGGGCACCAACAAAAGAATCACCAGCTCCGGTGGTGTCAACAGTCTTCACATGGAATGCCTCTACGCCTCCATGGAAATTCTACATCCCAAAAGATAAGTTAGATCAAATTATTAATAACACATTACAAAGTTCTCTCTCCAAATTTATTTTATTTCAGAGAAATTCTTACCAAGCAAAAAATATAGGTATATAGTTGTACTATATGTGAAAGCTACAAATAAATAAGCCCAAGTATGGCCTACTAAAAGTACTTAGGGATAGTTAATAATAATGTAGGCGAATTGTCAGTGTAATGAAATCACAGATTCTAATTAATAAAAGAAAGACTAAAAAGATATGCGTCCTTATTGGCTATGAAGGGACACTCAGCTTAATTATTAGTAGTTAGCAGCTGCGAAAAGTAAAGAATAATTAAATTATGGCATAATCCTTCTGGCCTTTCGGCTAAGATAAGTGGATAAAACAAAATTATGCACACCCAATGTAATTAAATAGTGCCAATTCGTGCCAAGTGCTGTCGGTCCACCTTTAGCCTACTTGGTACGACTTTAATTATTACAATTAAACACTGTGGTTCATTTCTTCAAAGCCCTCACTGACCCCCTCTTTCCACTTTACAGCTATGGTACTAGAGAATTCAATAACAAGCAGCCTAATAAAGTAGGAGTAACAAAGAAAGGTAAAAAGGACATTATTTAACTTATATACATTGAGAGGGCATATCAGTGCACTGAGAGGTAATTTCTTTTTTACCATATTTTAAATTGTCATTAATATATAACTTATCTTTCAAAATTTTATCGAGGATACCTATAGTAATCTTTTAAGTAATTAATAGCGTAAAAAGTCTTTTACATTGTGCCTAAGTATTATAATCTCTTTTTTTTTAGTGGTTATAAACTTTACAAAACACGGATGGGGCACGTGAACCCATAGTCTCACCGTCAAATTAGGTAATTTATGTTTGTATTTTTTGGAATTAGGCGAATATTATCTGTTGACACCCATACTCCAAAAGGATTGAATGATGCACTTGGTTGAATATTGGATTATTTTTCCTACGGAACAGGGATAGATTCCTACTTAAGACTTTTTCCTGCATTTTTTTAGTGGTGTACCGATATTCAAGAAATCCTAGATCTGTCACTGCTATAAAATGACGCAGACACAACATGTCGCATGTAGAGAATATTAATGGAATTTGTGCCCGATTTTATCTTCATAGATTTTCAAGAATGTGGACCAATATATAACAGATAGTAAATAGGTAAAAGAGAGAAGAAACATATACCTTGGTGTAATAATTGCAGCCTTTATCGCCAAGGGTGACCAAGAGGAGCTTCAAATTGGGATGCCATAAGGACATGGCAGATTCGTCATCAATCTTGTCACTTCCAGTTAGGAATTCCAGCTCGACATCACTCACCTTAATAACATCTGCCTTGTCCCAGATGCTCTTGATTTGCTTCCTCGCCTCCTCTGCCGACGGCCACAGCGGCAAACGGAGGTTTGGGTCATAAGAGAGCAATGCCCCTGCCTCCTTCGCCACTTCCATTGCCTTCAAATGTGCTGATCTGCATGGCTCTACTATCAAACTAATCGATCCGTAGTGGAACACCTTAGCCTAATACACAAGTCACAAAAATTTAGTCATCGCAATTAATTAATTACCACAAAAAATAAACACAAGGTGAAGTGGTGAACTTTGATAAATAGTTGCCGGTCAAACGCAATGATGAAGTTAGGTGAATGGTGAAACTCACCGTTTCTATAACTGGGCTAGAAATCAGAGAAATAATAATCTATAATCAAAAATCACAGCGAGATAATTAATGAACAAAACAATATTTTGGGCCGAGAGGGATGATTCCTAGGGGACCATTTCTTCTATCTTCCAGCCATAATCAATAAAATCAAAATATTCCCTGATCTTCTGCCAAACAACATTCAATTCCGACGCTAAAAAATTAACAAATTATCTTCTGAACTGAATAAATGAGAAATTAGATTTCACCATCAAAAATGGGTACCAATGAATGACTGAATCTATGAAAGTGACATCTGAAAGGATTTTTACTAACTGCAAAAATTTACGGAATGTTTATGTTACATTAATTTACTATAGTTAAGCGATTTAACAAGATAAAAATATATATTTATTATTAGTAAAAAATTTATATACAAATACATATCATGCATTTATTTTCTTAATTTTCGGAGGATAAATTTTTACTAGCGACTCTCGGGGTGATACACTCTATAATCCTCGTATATCGTCATTACACACTTTCATGAGTTTTTGACCTGATGTATGTATTCATTATTCTTCTGTCACAGTAACTTCTTTTAGGTGTATTAATAGTATCCTTTAACACGTATGCAGCACAAACAAAACAATTAGGTTTACCAAAACAGTTTTTTCTGGCCATCACTGAGATCTTTTATCGGTTAAGATCAATAATTATATAGTAGTAAGTTGTTTTCTTGCAAATACTTTGTGAACTAAAAATCTAAGAAGATACTTCTAGTATTTTTTTTATTCCTAGAAGAATAGAAACAAATAGGCGCGTGGAAACAAGAGCGTTGGGGATAAGGATAATGATATATGAACGCAAGGAGACAAGAATAGCTCTTTCAGATTTCAACACCTGAAAGGCAGGAAAGTTGCTAGCTGACAAATTACTCCAAGGGTCGTGTACAAGAATAGTGAGAAATAATATGTATTAATAATGCATGTATTAGTAATGCAAATATTAATTATACAAGCATTAGTTATGCAAATATTATTTCTTATTTATTGTTTGGTGTGGTATATTAAAATTATAATGCATTGCATAATTTTTTTTAAAAATAATTGCTTATAAAAATACCCTCCATATTCTCTAGCTTTAAAGGACTTTAAGGACAATTTTGTCTTTAACCATGCTAATGCATGCATTAAAGCCTTGGTATTACTAATGTCATGTTTTCTATGCATTACTTATGCATAGGATAATGCCAAGTATGATGTATAACTAATACTTATATTAGTTATACACAAGTTGAAAAAAGGTACCAAACAAGATATTAGTAATGCATAAAACTAATGCTTGCATTATTTTTTCTAATACCTCCCACCAAAAATCCGTGTGCCTAACACCCAACTGCATTGCAACATGACATCCACTAGCTTTAAGGTTTTCCTCAATCATCCAAATTCTTCTTTTCCCCAATTTTCGCTCTTAACAGAATTCCAAATTGACAAATCTAGCTTTATGTTAATCCAAACCGTTTAAAGAATAAAATAAAAAATGGAAAAAAATAATAGTAAATACTAGGTTTTTATAATAACATCAAACACTTGAAGATAGAAGGGCAGCCGGGTACACTAAGCTTCCCTTTCTATATGCAGTCAAGTTGTTTTCACGGCTCGATCCTGTGACATTCTGGTCACGTAACAGCAAATTTACCGTTACACTATAAATTTACCGTTACACTATGACTCCCTTCAAACACTTGAAAATATGACGAAGAAGTTTCTTGCCAATAAATATACACGAGACTCTGATCTACTGATTTTTGGGGTATTGCGGGTTGGATCTAATCTAAATTATAAAACTAATATCGCATCAAATTAGTCAAATAGAGGCACATAATAAATGTAGAGGAA